ACTGGGTATGGTCTCGAAAGGTGTAGCACAAGGAGATTAGAGGTTCATGCACCATTTCACGTTTCTTTAGGATTCACCCCGTAGCCTTCAGGGTAGAGGCTTCAGATTTCCAAGCTTGATCTTAGCGGATGTAGTCCAATATTGTTGTAGGCCTTTTTGATCGGGGCCACCTGCATGCAGCTTGTATTTGCAGACTTGAGTTCACAAACCTTTGAACCTTAAACCCTAGACCCCAAAACCACTTCGCAAACCCCTGAACCCTAGGCCTTACCCAGACCCTCCAATGCAGCTCCCTGTTGGGTACTATATTGTAATCCCTAACTACGGAACCATTAACAAACCCAAAAATGGAACTACATAGCCAGCATCACACCTCCCACACCTTCGTTGTCAAATGGGATGTAGTTTGGAGCCCTCAGAGCCAAGCCTCAGTTTTGAGTTTAGGGTTTAGGGTTTACCTAGGTAAGATCATGGCCCCAAACCCACATGTAGCCAAGAAAAGGCAATTATTCTCGACATTTGTTTGAGGTTCAGGGTAAGGCTTAGAAGCCCAGAACTTCAACCCGCAGCTCGGATTTTGATGTACACTTGAGAACACGTGAGGGAGATTATTCCAGTTGAACGTCCCACAGGTCTGCGCCGGGGTATCTAAGCACCTTAACCTCTAAACCCTAAAGCCCTATAGTCCCCCTTAAGTAGATGGAATATGGCTTTGGGTTTCATAAGTTCCCCCATGTACCCCATATTCTATCCACTTAAGGGGGACTATAAGCCTCAGTGAAGAGTGATACGAGCGCAAGCAAGGAATTTTGAAACCGGCTTAATTCCCCTTCTCTCCATAGGAGCTGCCGTCCATATTAGCTGTAGCAAGGGACCCTTCATAGCGGACACCCTAAGAAGGAACCCATGCCCACATTGCCCATCAACTATTTGGGTAATATTGACTGTAGCTCATATACTTGGGGATTTCCTTCAGTGTTGTCAGTATCAGGAAATATGGCTTTAGGGTTTAGGGCTTAGGATTTATGGTTTAGAGTTGAGGGTTTCGGGTGTCGCGCGTGCAAACCAAACCCGTGAACGGCAGCCTTTGTACGGTCCGTGTCGCGTTGAAACCTTCTTTTTGTACTTCACTCAGGCCAAGCCCTTGGCTAATGACCCTCAGCCCTCAATCCTGAACCCTAAGCCCCTAGACCCTAAACCAAATCGATAAAACACATCCTTCACCCTAAGCCCTATTAAGCCCCCAAATCCTTAACCCTGGCTATGTAGTCCAAGGACTACTTCTGGAACCGAAACCACTAGCACTTATACGAGTTCCACAGCTACCTCGAGGCTGCCCGGATCTCTTGCTATCTCCATGCTAACTCGGGTAGAGAGTAAGGGGCTTAGGGTTTAGGGGCTCCCTAAACCCTGAACCCCAGGGTTCATGGTTGTTTAGGAGTAAAGGTTGAGGGTTTAGGGCTTAGGATTTAGGAATTTCTTAGCTGCCATGCCCTGCATATGAGCTACTAATATTAGCCTCATTGAGGCACCCTTAACAGTGCACACAGGGGCCCATCTCGTAGTCTATCATATATTCCGTAAAAAAAACCGTGGCCGCTTATTATGCGGGTAATAGCGGCTGTAACTCATATGCATGTATGCTTACAGGAGGCGTTATCACTAAACTCTATAATACGCCAAGTCTCAACCCTGTTGTGGAAGGGGGTCATGGTCCGCCAAAGGGTTTAGGGCTGTGGTTCTTCGCCGCGCACCGCAAGTTCCTGAGATATTGTCTACTCATGGACAAGTATTGGACGGAGTTAAGGTTTCGAGATTGGGAGGGATGGAGGCTTAGGGTCTATGGCCCCGAACCTAGATCCCTACCAACCCCTGAACCCGAAACCTCTAGAATCCTAAGTATCTCCAACCCCAAGCCCTAAGGTTTAGGCTCTTAATGGTTGCTTTTGGTTGCCCCAACCCCTGAAATTAGGGTGCGTTCAGTACATTTGCCGGGACTGAGAGCTGTGAGGACTTCTTGTTGTGGAAGTTACAAAGCCACGAAACACAGAGGGTAGCCATTTGCGTCTTCCAACTCCGAAGTTTGAAGACACAACATCACGTGCTTTTAGGGATGCTTGCAAAATGCATATGCCTTTCGCGACGTCAGCCACACACAGATGATGCATGTTTCACAAGCTCAGAACATGCTGTTTTTGCCAGTAAAAAGGCAATATTCATGCACTACACAGTTACGTACCTCAGAACCGGCCAGACAGCACAGACATCACCTCACTGCAGCGAAAACCACGGCAAACGTGTTCAACGCGGCCAACTAGGACCCCATTTTGAGAGATAGTTGTAGGTTGCAGGGTCCTTGTTATAGGGGTTGGGGCGATCCCTAAAGCCCACATAAACTCATGCACACTAACATGGAACCGCAGGTTTTGGGCTCAGGGTTTCGGGTTTAGGAGTTTCCGCATTATTAGGGATGCATTTTCGGGGTCCCCACAGTAAGGATTCTAGAATTTGGTGTCTACATCGTGGTTGCATTAGTTACTGAAACTACCGCGTGACCTCTTTTTGTTAAAGGACTGTTAAGGGCTTCCAAACTAGTTTGGGAATGATAAACCCTAAACCCTAAACCGTGCTTTACGGTCAAGCCTAGGGCCCTGGAGGGCTTGTAGGGTTGAAGCGCTTCAAATGAGTACCGTTTTTTTGGTGGTTAAACCCAGTAAGATTATGTTCCTTATTACTCTATATTGGGCACCATAGTATTCCCAAATAAAATACTACTCAAATGGGTTGTTGGGAGCCCCTAAGTCTAACATCCTGCAAGACATGTCCTCCAGAGACTGAGACTCAAAAACGAGGAGTAGGGCTTAGGCCAAGGTCTTCGAACCTGAAGACGCTGATTTCCAAACCCGATTTCAACACCCTGGCGCAGTCCTGTACTTCCCAATGCTTCGCACGGATAGCAAGAAGTAAGCTGCTTGCATCATCTCCTGCATTGTCTTGCTTTCGTTTGGCTCGAGCTTCGGCTTTAGGGTCTATGGCGCGGCGTGATTTCCCTTCTACCTGAAGTACCGCTGAGGCAGAGGAATCCCGATGCTCATTCATAGCGGAAGAGACCTTGTCTACGGTAGGGCCCTTATGCATCATGACTCTAGCAGCACAGCTTTCAAGATCGGCGAAGGTGCCACTTAAGGACATCCAAGGACAAACAGAATCCAAGCCGACGATAGTATTCGGAATGTAAATCACCTTTCGGCGCTTCATGACTCCCCTGTCAGGTCCGGTGACTTTCTGGAGCACCGGGACTTCAGCGAATGCAGCCCGTGACTAGCTTACCGACTTCACTGTCTGAGGGTTGTGTGGAAAGAGTGCGCTTGACCCTTGCCAAGACATGTAGGTTCAGCAACAAGACTACATCGTATCTCGATGCGTGCACTTTGACCCATGCTGCCGATGAATGCTTCCAATGCAAAATCGAAGGCTCATTTCTTGTTCTCATGTACAGGCCGTTTGTCCTGAAGATAACCTGTTATATCAGTAGCATCTTTGAATCTATGAGACCTCCAAACCGAAGCCAGGTCGTGAACACTCCCTTTGTAATGTCAGCGTCATGGCCTCCAACACAGTCTAGAACATTGGGGAACTCAACACCTTTTGCGCTGCAAGAATAACCCTAAGCCCCTAAACCCTAATATACTATAGTAGTTTCCACTTTATTTTTCCATTACCCAACAATAACCGCAAAGTAACCCCTAAACCTCTTCCTGGCCCTGGCAGCAACACGGCCCGCTCTGACAAGATGGAAGGCCAAAGGGCCCTTCAAATCAGCAAAGTGTAACTTCTACAAAGGTTATATAGGTGTAATATAGGGGTTCTATAGGGATAATGGAAAAGAAATTCGAAACTTCTGTAATGGGCTATATAGGAACTATAGGGTATATGTTGGGGTTCTAAGCGTTGATTCGTTTTCAAAAGCAACTTACGGAGGATATCATGTGACAAGCTGTCGCTCCTGTGTCGGGGCAGCCCAGGCCAAAATACCTCGGAGTTGCTTCCACTGTCCCATTTCCAACCTGGCCCCTTCCTTGGGCTGCGGATTCAGCTGGAGGCGGGGGGCGGCTCAGAAGGGCAGAGCCCTTGGGAGCAGTCCAGTCTGCGGGTTTACCAGAACACTTTCTAGATCTCCTGTTGGGATCATGTGAAGTTGTGGGAAACTCGAAGATGATTTGGGCCGCTATCAGCAATTTGGGATAACAGCCTAATCTGCCATGAGTACCAAATGCCCCTTACAGTTGAGGTGGAAAACAAAACACTTAGTAAGATTGAGTGCTGACCATGTGCTGCAGGATAAAAGGTATGTCTAACAAAGAAACACCATCAAGAGGTGGGCTCCAGGTGACAAAGATCAGAAGAGCAAGCAGCCTAAACTTTGTTTTGTGAGACCCTGCCTTCTTGTAGCTCTAGCGGGCTTACTTGCGGCGAGATTTTCCATATATATATATATCTCTCTCTCTCTCTCTCTCTCTCTCCCCTAAACATGAATAATTGATATGTATATATATATATCTACATATGTATAAGCCCCGCGGCAAACGCCAGTGCCAGCCCATATGATCCCCTGCTTGGGCTAAATGCATAAACCCGCAACGCTCGGCCAGGAGTCGCGCTGCGGAGACACAAAGGCTTCGTAGTTGTCGGAGGCCAAGGCCGCCAAGCAAAGGCAGCCGCATTCGGCCTAACATTCTAGATTCAGCTTCATGTTGTCCAATGGCAAGTGAATCGATCGAGCATGTCATCTGAGCATGAGATGATTCACATCTTAGTTTCCAGCCTTGTCGCGCTCACCAGGCTCCGAGTACCTGAGCTAAGTGGGGCGCGAAAAATGAGACAAAGATTAGACTTTTCACTCCGATTGCCAGCCGCTGGCATCATGTGGAGCAGCCAAAAGCAGCCACCAGGACAACTAAACGCTCAGCACCCGGCACTCCCATTTACAGCCGAGGAGCATTGCATGCAGGCCATAGACGGGGTCAAGCTCAACATAAACCTGCGCAGCACATGAACAATGCCTCTTCAGCACTACTACCTGGACCACAGAAGCAGATAAAATAATGGTCCAAAGTCCAAAACCTATAAAAACAAGCCGCGCAGAGACCATGGTTCTACGTAATTTAGGCCCATGGTGAGCAGGGGAGCAAGAGCAATATTTGACAGCTTCCCCGCCTCGCGAAGCTTGCTGGCAAAAGCTTCTGGATCCAGCGTGTGCTCGGAAGTAGACCAAGACACAAACTGACGAATGGTCATAGGCTTCGGATGCATGCTGTTTGTTGCAACTGGCGACGAAGACGGAATGGGGGCGTATGAAGAATTGGTGGCAATGCTTGCTGTGACACTTCCACTGTCATTGGTCGGACTCAAGTTGATGGACTTCAGCAACTTGCGCTCATCTAAATGGAGCTCAACAAAGAAGGAGTTGGTCTCAATAGCCTGGTCTGCTGTTAAGGAACTTAAATTGGGTTCCCATAATGGGTATATATATATATGGTAAATAATAGGGATTCCCCAATATGGTAACTTAATTTAAGTTCCTTAACAGCAACCCAGTAGCTGCTTGCGCACATTGCAGGTCTCGTCTCCAACCGACGCTGCTGGAAGAAGGTCCGCTTCTGGCCTTCTCCACCCAGGCTTTAGAGTAATTGGCCACAAATTCCTGAGCCGAGGAGAATGCTTCTAGTAGCCAACATGAAATACCCAAACCCTAAAACATGGAACATCCAAACCCTAAACCCTATGTAACCCATTGTAGCAGTTTCCAGTTCCTCTTCCATTATCACTATATCACCCCAATACAACCCTTGTATGACCCTAATGGGTACCTATATCCCGTAATGTCGCCGCACCCTAAACCCTAGACCCTAAATAGTAGTTTCCATTTTATTTTCCATTACCCCTATATAACTCATTTTCACATCATCCCTATAGTAGTTTTGATTTTCTTTTCCATTGCCCCTAATAGCTGTTGCTGTTTCTTTCAAAGCCTTCCGGCCCACAATGGTTGACGTTTCTGTCACAAACAACGCCGACATCCTCACAGTACTCTTCTAGGATTGTATAGGGACAATGGAAAAATGGAAACCACTATAGTATATAGGGATATATAGGGATAATGGGAAATGACATGGAAACTACTCTAGGGTTTAGGGTTTAGGTACTGACTGCCCAAGCAAAAACAGGGCGTGGGGGGTGTTCTCAATAGTTGGCATTCGGTTCGGGGCCTTGTACTTGGGCTTGGCATGTCAGGGGATTTTAGGGATCAGGGGGCTCAAACGGTGGGATGCAGGTAGGTAGGTAGGTTAAAGGATCCCTATTCGGGCTTATTTCCTACAGCCCACCTTCCTTTAACCCACCTTTTGAGACCTCTGAACTGAGGCCCTGTTAACCTCGTGGCTTACCGACCCCACCAAGCTGCCCTGGCATATTCCACACACATCGCGGCACAGACCGGGGAGTTCATCCTGAGCTGCATCATTGGAATTTATTGCATCTACTGCTGAAGATGATGGCTCTGATGGTCTTTGTCAAGGTGATGACAGAGCTGTAGCTGTGGCAAAGGGCAGCGCGGAAAGGAGGAAGACATGAGCCATCGTCTCGATTCCTCGTATCCCCCTTAATCGACCCTATAGTACTTCTCTATACAATTCCCTCTACAACCCCCCTTCAAGGAGTTTAGACTGTAGCTAACATGAAGGAACACGGGGAAGGAGCCCCCAAACCTCTGGCCGCCAAACACAACAGAAGAGCAAAGCAGCCCGTCAAAAAATAGTATTACTGAGACAAACAATGATAACAGAAATGATAAGAACAATGCTAATACTAGTAAGAACAGTAATAATAATCATCATGGTGATAATGACCCGGTGATGAGTTCAACTTCAACACCAGAATGCCAAGCTCCTGTGCCAATGCACCCGAGAAGCAGGATAGTGGCCATGCTTCTTCCTGAAATGAAATAGACCTCCGCAAACGTCTCCTGAGCGCTTGGTAATAAAGATGCTAATAATAGACGTAGCATAATAGCAGTAGTACTAATGGTACTAATAACAACGAATAGAATGACGATAGCCTAAACCTTCCTGGAAATCAATCGCATTTTGCAAGTCGCGGGCGTGCGGATGCTAGCAGCTCTGAGATCAAGATAGTGAAGCAAAGCCATGACATTCATAACACGCAACTTAGGCATACCAAAGCACAACCCAGCCACCACAAGCCACAGCCGCCCCAAAATTGCTCACACCTCTCCAAACCAGTTCACGACATGCTCTATGGGGCCCAATCAGCACGCAGAATCACGACCAGTAACTAGCATTTTTTAGTGGGTGAACCGAGCTTCTGATTCTACAATAGCATACCCAATAGAAGTTTAAAATAGTACTCTATGGGTGGAACTATAATGTAACATGCTACTGAATGAAGATTCTCATACAGGGGCGCCGTAGTTACGTCCCGCTGTAAGGACTGGGTAATTAGAAGTAGAAAATGGATACTTGTAACATAGTGATAATGATTTCAAACTACACATATCCCATTTCTCACCCGAAGAATAGAAATGCATAAACTTCCAAGTATGTAGGGACCAGTTAGAGACACTGGCGAATTTGAAGTAAAAGGACGGCACGGAGAAAGATGTAAATCTAATCCATTTCTGACTCTGCAATACCTCCAGAAAATACTCAAATTGCTGCCCTGCCACGATGTCCAACGTGCAGTCATGCACGACCGCATCTGCAAAAAGTGCGGCCTTGGAGCTCGAGAACGAAGTTCAAAATCAGGGAGCCTAAAGATATGCGGCGATTACGAATGCATTCTTCGGGTCCCTGTTGGTGAATATTTTTAAGGGTACGAGGGAGAATCCCCCTAATCACCTCACCTAGAACAAAATGCGCGCACACACACGCGCACACACACGCGCACACACACGCAAATTATGAATACTCCATCACATGGTATTAAAAGCAAGAAGCACGGGAGCTATTGTTCTTGAGAAGGCTGAGCATTGGGGGAGTGGATGAACACGGATGGGGCTCTACTGAACCTCGGCCAGCGGCTAGATCTATGCAAGGATTTCTGCCTACCGTGAAACATGCAAACAGTGGCAGAGCGCTAATTTGAGCTCTCGGGCAATTTGCGAGAGCCAGTGGATGAGAATTGCACTCACAAAGCATGAGCCTTCGAGCCGAAGCCAAAAAATTACACCTCCCTGCCCGAAACAATCTAAGACTCATACATTGGATACGAACCCCACTTGTATCATACATTGGATACTTGCCCCGCCGAAGATTCCTACGATGTTAAATGCTACTGTAATGGTATTGCAATAGTGAGGGCCCTACAGTACATGTGACTGTCAATGGGTGGGGCAGTATCCAAATATACGGCTTATGAAGAATTCGTCTAAAGTTGCAAGCCCGTCCAAGGAAGACTATGCCATGTAGCCCCAACACGCCTTCGTTATTCACGACCCTGCATTATCTAAGAGCCTCTTCTCACAAAGGAATGAACTGCGTGAAATGAATCGCCGTCATGCTACTGATGTCACGACGTCAGATAATAGTTATAAAGGCTAAGGCGAGACCCGGAGCACCTGAAACTCACCGATGCAAATGCCTAACAACTTGAATAGGTTTTCGAGGTGCAGTACACTACCGCCTAAACTCTAAACCCTCTTTGGAAGCGTTGGAAGGAATCAACACTGGTACTCCTGCAATTCAGGCTTCTACAGTTCCCAAGTGCCTCCGCAAAGAAGTGATACTCGCCAGTGAAACGCTCGCAGTCCTGCCGCTACGTAGGCCCATGGTGCGCAGGCTGGGTTAAGGAAGCTAAAATAAGTTGCCACGGTAAGAAGGCCCGACTATATATGATGTTGATCAAAATTCCTGTGCCCAAAATGGCCATAATTGATTTCGCTACATTTGCCTTTGTAGACCCACAGGAACCTTTACTTTCCCCAGAGGACCTTGAGATCAACCTACAAATCTCCTTTGTGGTAATTGGGTTGAGTGCGGTTTAGGGTTTAGGATGTGCGGGTGCGCGTCAGGGACTTGGTTGGTGCTTAACGAAAAATCTGCGGGACTGCGACAATGTTGAGGACTTTGACCCCAATTTACACCCGGATACATTATATAATCCTTGTTATGGGGACCCTCAAAGGGTACCCCTAATTTTGGGAAACCCCCAAATATGGAGGACTTGCAGTCCCAATGTTGTGAAGGCTTTAATTGGACTCAGGGTGTTGAGGTGTACGCGGTATGTGAATGCGTAAACTTGTTCTTCCAAATCATGTTAGCAGCTATAGACAAAAGCAGGCGATGATGGAGAGAATGTCTTCTATATTTCGGGCAAAGGATCAACCGCCCTCCACCCTGCAACATATATAATCCCTATATAACCCTATAATATAGTAGTTTCCATTTTCTTTTGCATTATCCCTTGATAACCCCACATAACACCATAAAGAAGCTCAACATGCCGTAATTCACGTTTTTCACTTCGGGGGAACAGCCAATGTTAGGGGATGGTTGCTTCGGGGGAGGCGATTGTTGTTATGAATGTTGCTATATCATCGCTATTATTTCTGTTAATTGTTACTAATATGACTGATATTACTATTGTTACTATCAGTAACTGGATTCCCGTCCAGCAGGCGTTGCTCCGTACACCACGTTCTACAAGGGCCCCGATTCGGGGACTACTGCGGGTATGTAGAAGCGACCCCGAACCGAGCCAATTCCCTCAAGAAGCTTCCAAAAAGCTCTCTGCGTCGGCCTTAGTAAACTATCACTAGAGCCCTGGAAGACATAAATGAGCTCGCATGGCCAAACAGAAGCGCTGCTAATGGTGAGATACCATTGAAATGAGATCTGTGCAGAAGAAAAAGCCTGTATTTGGCTGTGAAGCACACACCGTGTACTTCCTTCGAACACTTGCCGGTGGGCCTGCTCTCGGCCAGAGTCTGTGCGCAAGCAGAAGCTTCCATGGCTGGTGATGTACATGCCCTTTGCCAGCAGCCCAACTACAAACACCTCAGTTGCAGTCACTTTTTGCAATGATCCGCAAGTAGTGGTATCACTTCTAGCGCGCAACAAGCGAATAAATTCAATCAGACCAGGTACATCGGGTCAGCTGAAACAGGGAAAGGTGATCATGACCCGTTATTCCGGCAGTCAAGTTCTATGCTACACTCTGGGAAGATGCCCAGGCACACCAAGTTCACAAGGACCATCCCAGGAGTAAGTCTTCCTCGTGCAGTCCGAGGTGCAGACTCACCCTCATAGAACAGCTGCTTCTCCAAAGCGCCTTTGTCAAACTGCTCCCTCGCAGCGTCAGCTTGTCGCGCTTAGAGGCCTAGTTACCTCCCATTGAAAGGACAAGTTGTTGCATTCTACGCCCTACATCAAGGCAAGAGGAAACAATGAGGAAGACATTTCCTCCCGCTTTGCAGGCGCAACAGCAGCAAGAAGCTCAGCGAAGGTGCAGCAAATGTCGGCAAAGACCTTGGGGAAAACGGATCCTGGGCTGTTCAGCTTAGCAGGGCATCTGACATTTGTGCGGCTGACCCTCGAACAACTTTTTCACACCTCGAAGCCGACTTCCAAGTTTGAAAGCCCACGCCATCCCAATCCAAACCCGTTGACTCTATGCCCTCTGCCAGCCCTCGTAGACCTCACCAATTCAGCTGGTTCTTCAGGTCATCGATGAACTGAAATCACAACTTCTTTTCAGGTAACTTTCAGTTGATACCTACTATATACCCTATATGTACCCTTGAGGGTCCCTAGAATCCCCCTAAAACGCCTAAGGGCCTAGTAGGGGCCCATACTTCTATATCTTTTCCATTATCCCAATACATCCCCATGATACACCCTATTATAACATAGTAGTTTCCATTTTCTTTTGCATGCTCGCAATAAAACCCCCATTACCTATAATCCCTATATAACCCCTATAATCCCTGTATAACCCCCACAACCCTAAACCCTAAAATCCCCATATAATCTCTATATAGCCCCTATAATCCCAGTTAAGAGTCGAGTCAGAGAGAACATAGGATGGTTGGTGAGGAGATGGCCTTTTTGGAACATGGCCAGCTCTGCCTCAGACGGCTTCTGTTATCTTTAGGGTTCGGGGTTTGGGGTTTAGGGCTTAAGGTGCAGGGAAAACAAAATAGAAACTACTATGATATGGGGGCTATATAGGGATAATGCAAAATTGAATGGAAACTACTATAAAATTGGTGTTATATAGGGGTTCTATTGGGACTATTTAGGGTTTGGGATTTGGGACTTAAGGTCTAGGATTCAGGGCTTAGGGCTTAGGACTCAAGGTCTGGGGTTTACGCAAGCCTGGTTTTCATGTTGGCGGCATGCTGTAGAAACATAGGGTGTTGGGTTGCATCTTGACCTCTCGTGTGTCTTACTCCAAAGAGCGGCTGGCGGCTGCTGACCCGGATCTCGAAGCAATCAACCTACTACTGGGCACACTCAGCCCCTAAACCCGGAACCCTTACCATTAACCCGTTTACGGCCAATATGCTAAATTATCCTGAACCTCCTGACTATCCCAAGATAGTATGCCTGGGGTCCACATCGCCCGAAGCTCCAGAATCTTTCACGTGAAGGTGCTACAGAAAAAAAGTTGTTGGAGATATATCCTATCAGAAAGAAAGACGCATTCCCAACAAGGAAGTACATACAGTCTTACTGGTGGTTAGTAGCGAATCTGGAATATGGCCCCTGCGTAATCCCAATTCGTGTGTTCTCTTGTCTTATCCAAGGAGGCACACAAGTGCAGCTGCCCTGAAAGCAGCCTGACCCCGAATTTACGGGAGATTGTCTGATCAGAGATAACTTTCGTGTAGACTTCAACCCTAATTACACCCATCCACCCCCAAAAAAATCAAAACATGCATATATATATATATATCTGTGAAGTATTTCTTTCTTCCGTATTAGCCCCCAAGAAGACTAAACCCCTAAAGCTCACGCCAAGGCCAGCGGCCGCCAAAAGCGGCGAGATCAAGTCTGGGTCGAAGGAGATAGGCGAATGTCGCTGCAACCTCGGTCTATCTGGGCTTCAGGTCTAGGAGCTAGGGTTTAGGGG